TACACAGTAATTTTGTGGGCTGGGGAGCCAGCTCAATCGGCAAAGTACTTGATTTTTGAAGAGTGAGGACCTGAGTCTGATCCCTAGAATCCACATGATAAGGATGGACATGGTAAGAGTGTACACAGAATCCCAGTTCTGGATTGAGGCAAAGAGGATTCCTAGGGTTCCCGAGCCAGCCAGCCTGGCCTAATCTGAGAGCACCAGGACAACAGAGACACCCTGTCTCAATAATCAAGGTAGATTACACAAAACAAATGACACACACATGCACACATATCTGCAGGTGTACATGTATACATACACACAAAACTGTTTTGCTTCTATTATGGCCATTGAAAATTAGTTATCATCCACACACAAACCTCTAACACAGTGCCTTCCCCCAACAAAATCTTCTCTAATGATGGATGGCTCAACATCTGACTATTCAATGTATTTTCCATTAGCCAGATGAGAACATCACGCACCTAAAAAGTAATTAGCATAACTAAGCGATTTTAATTAACGGAAATAGTCATAGCTGTTATCCAAGCCAGCTTCCCTACAATGAGCACAAACCACTGGGATAAGAAGTGAAAGCATCCTTGACAATCTGTGTCCTTCTGTTGTAATGACAGACTGGGAAGAAACTCACTCCTTTAAACAGCGTAGATATAGGCTGCAGCCTGTCACAGCAAGCAAGTCAGCACAACCCAGCAGAGTTGTCCTGGGCACTCTTGGTCCCTGTACGGCTACTTCGTCAGCTATAAATCGGCATTTTATATTTGGGTCACAACATCAAAACAGGGACGCTTCATCGGCAGTTACAGATTTGTTCCGGTGTCAAATTTTAATCATCAAAAACGATGCTCAACAGATGCATTTATCACAAAACTTCGAAATGTTAACATCTTGTTTTTTCTTAAGTTGCTACAGTCAGCCTACTGACTACTGTCTTTTCAATACTGAAGTTTGTGAGCACATCGTTGCTTCTTCAGCATACCCCAGAGCAGTGTGTGTTCACTCTAACAGAGACAGAGAACTTTAATTCATGATCAAGATCTGCACAAAAGCTTTCTGGAGTGCTTTTCTGTATTTAACTTCTGTTGTTCATTTTCAGCACAGAATTTCAAGTTTCTTTCTGCTTCTTCACTTCATGGGTCATTCTAAGGCCATTCTCCACTGTCTACTCTCTGCCAGCTTCGGCCCTTGTGCTGTAAATATAAAGGCTTCCTCTTTTTCTGATCACTGGGACTCACAGGAATAGCTGCAGAATCTCCTAGACATTTCCAACAACAAAGAATTACACTTCATAAATGCAGAACACAGTGAGTAATGCACACAGGCTCTCGGCCTCACGCAGGATCTCAGGAGGAGTCTGCATCTGTGCGCCACCCGGCCCAATGCCAGTTTGCTATCCTTTGTGAGCTTCTTGTTTGGGGTAACGTGGACATCCATGGAAAAAAATGTATGCTAGCTGAAAAGATAGAGGAGGAGGCTGTCATGTTCCCTCAGACACCTAGCCCTGCCAACACACACTGAGTACATCTGTGGTTTGGTTTGGCTTTCTTGTCAGTACCTGGTCTTTAACTCACACACATTCATTTGTCTTCTGGGTCACTGAGGCAGTAAGTCAGATAAGATTGTCTCCATAATGTCTGTCAAAGTGATTGGTCATAAGAAGGGCACGCTCATCCAAGGTGACTAATACTGCCGTTTTCAGGTACCTTTAAGGGTTTTAGGGCAGCCAACCCAAGCATCTTTGTCATGAGCTCATTCTTCTTATGAGTGGTGTATGATCATAAAGTCTCAACACAAAATGACAAAGAGTCCTTCTGAATGTTGTAGTCAAAGTACATTCATTCTCCAGCCAAGAGCAACCTTTGTGATCCAGAGAAATTCCTTCCTTATCCTGGATATTGGCCTTTGGTCTTTCCCTAGGGGTTTTGCAAAAATTTGCATTTGGGACTAGAGAGATGACTCAACCGTTGTCATTGCTTTCTGCTCTTCCAGGACACAAGCTTGATTCCTAGCTCCCACAGGCACATGGCATACAAACATACAGATAAATGAAAATAAAAATTAAATCTTAAAAAAAATTTACCTTGTCATATTTGGTAGCACACACCTTTTTATCCCTGTACTCACGAGGCAGAATCAGGCAGATCTCTGTGAAGCCAGTAACTTCTGGCTTCAATTACTAAGACTGAAACAGACTGGAAGAGTTGGTGAGTTGGCAATATTTTCTCTAAAGGGCAAAGAACAAATACTTTGGGTTTTATGGGCTGTAGACACTACTACTTTTGTTCTGTTTTTCTTTGATTGAGATAGAGTCGCACTATGTGCCAGTGTGCCCTAGAACCCCCAAGTACTAGTATGAGGTGTGGCAGCAAGTCTGGCCCTCAACTCTGCTGCTAAAGAGCAAAGTATAACAGATGTCTAAATGAATGTAAACTATTCCAACACACACACACAAACAAAAAGAAAAAATTCTTTATAACAACGAGCATCAGTATAATTAGCCCAATAAGCCATCATGTCACAGCCATAAACCATACAAAAAGGAAAACATCAAAATGCATGTGTAAAACTAGGCAAGCAAAAATTTGAGTTTTAAGTATTTACTATGATCATACTATATCAAATAATAAAAAAAATCTACAAACTATAAATTTTATAAAAATAAAAAAAAATATGATAAAAGTAAACATATAGTACACACTAAAATGCAAAAACAGCTAAAAATTCCTGGTGCTTTCTCAGTATTACTCAACTCTTCTCACAAAGACAAAAAACTCCACACCTTATATATGTTCTTGTGACTTGCATTTGGGGACTGTAACATTAGCAAATCCAACAGAGACTAAGAAATACTAGAGACCTGTGGTTTGCTCTCTTGCTCCCCTTCTAGAGAATGACAGCTACCCACACCAGCATTCGAGCCAACCAACAGTGAGCTCCTTAAACCAGGGTTGATTTCCTGACCTATCACTGATCACAGACAGAGGCCAGGCAACATTAGCAGAAAATACGCACAGCTGAGGTCAACCAAAATGCAGACCCCAAAAGTAAGCTAAATAAATGTTTAGTTTGTTACACGGCAATGGGCAGTTATGTATATGTTCATACACGTGCATACAAGTACACATTTGTAAAAGTAGGCAAAACATCGGGGTTGACAGAAGGGATAGCTGAATAGGACTAATAACTTACTCATATGTTTTGATGGTTTCCAAGTTTTCTTTAATAAATAAATCTGCCTTTATTCAGGAGGAAAAGATGTTGCCTTCCGGTCCCAAACATTTCAGAGCGTACAGATTACTGTGCAGACGTGGATAAGTCCAAGAACCACACCACACACAACCGACCCCCAAAAGAACTGGCATCAAGAAATCCCAGTCACAAAGACTCTAATCTCTTCAGGGGGTTGACCCCTAGTTCCTGAGGAACATGTGTTTTTCCAGGAAGCAGGAGACGCAGGCCAAGAGTGAGAAGGCAATGAGAGCAGGAGCCATCAAAGCCCTGGTGACGCCCAAGGTGCCAAAGGGCCCCAGTACTCAAACTCAGTCACCTTGCTTTCATTGCGCCCCACAAGCTTGGGAAGTAGATTCAAAGTTACACAGCCAAGGGCTGTAGGTTCTGCCGACGAAATCCCAAGGTTCAAACCAAAGCCAAGGCCACAGCACTAGCTTAGAATCCCAAAGGTGCCCAGGTCCCTGTGAAGGCCCCATAGAAAAGGTTCCTGTCTGCCGATGTAAAAGCAAATGGACGGGTGTGACAGACCTAGACCCCATTTACAGATCATCAGTGCCCTATGCTGTTCATACAAACAAAGTGAGCCAAGATCTGTTAAGAGAGAGGAAGGAAGGGAGGGAGGAAGGAAGGAAGGGAGGAGGCAGGGAGAGAGGGAGGCAGGGAGGAAGGACAGAAGGAAGGAAGGAAGGAAGGAAGGAAGGAAGGAAGGAAGGAAGGAAGGAAGGAAGGAAGGAAGGAAGGAAGGAAGGAAGGAAGGAAAAAAATGTCATTAAAAATACAAATTCTGGGCCAGTAAGATGACTTACTGGGTAAAAATGTCTAAGACAAGCACAACACACACAAACATAAATAATTAGATGTAAGAAAAAAATTTTAAATATAAAGAATGAAGCATTAATATAATTAATCTTAATCAATAAAAGCCAAGAGCCAGATATCGGTATAAAGCCTGGAAGGTCAGAGAACCAAGAGCAGCTGCCAGTTTTTGGATGGAGGAAGGAGGCCGGTAAGAAGCAACTGGCAGCTGCTCCCAGTTCTCTGATCTCCCAGGTTTTACCCCGATATCTGGCTCCTGGTTTTTATTGATAAGATTGATTAGAATAATGCTTCAGGGACTAGAGAAATACACACAGCTCTTCAGAGAACCCAAGTTTGTTTACCAGCACCCACATCGGGAAGCTTACAACTGCCTGGAACTTCAGCTCCAGGGGATATAACACTCACTTCTTCCTTGGACACCAGCACTTATATACATACTACCAAATCTTCCTCCTTGGACACCAGCACTTACATACATATTACCAAACAGGCATGTAGGTACACACAAAATTAAAAAATAAAAAAATTAGTTCAGGTGGGGTTTGGTGGCACATACCTGTAGTTCCAGCACTTGGAGGCAGAGGTGGAAAGATCTCTGACTCAAGGTCACACTGTTCTACATACTGAACTACAGGTCAGCCAATGCTCAGCAAGACTCTTTCTTTTAAAAAGAAAAAAAAGCCAGACATGATGGTGTATGCCTTTAATCCTAGCACTTGGAAGGCAGAAGCAGGCGGATCTCTGAGAGTTTGAGGCCAGCCTGGTTTACAGAGAGAGTCCCAAGACAGCCAGGGCCCCACACACAAAAAAAACCTGTTTCAAAGATAGATAGATAGATAGATAGATAGACAGACAGGCAGGCAGACAGATAGATGATAGAATGATTGATGGATGATAGATAGACAAACAATAAATAAAAGTTTAAATATAAAAACAAAACTATGGTACTCGCTTCAGCAGCACATATACTAAAAAGTTGGAATGATACAAAGATTAGCATGGCCCCTGAGCAAGGATGATACACAAATTCGTGAAGCGTTCCATATTTTTTGAAAAAAACAAAACTATGAAAACCAAGAAAAATGTGCTGTAAATTTATAGAAAAGGACCTAGAAAGATTCTCAAGAGTCAATGGTGTTTATCTGCACGAAGGCAAAGCAGAACAGAAGTACTAAGGAGAACATCTTGTTTTTACTCTGCTAACTTACACTGGTAAGACTTTTTTAAAAAGATCAGTTATTATTTATCATTTCTTTTAAAAGCTGAATTTGCGCCAACCATGGGAGTATATTTATACCTATAATTCAATCACTCAGAAGACTGGAGCAGGAAAGTCAAGAGCTCAAAGGCAGCTCAGGATGCATAGAAGGTGTTGTCTAGAAAAAAAGGCAGCCACGATTTATTTTTTTAAATAAACATCAAATCTAGGTCCAGAGATGGTTCAGCAGATAACGGCACTTGTTGTGCAAGCCTGGCTACCTCAGTTTAATTCCCAGAACCCAGAGAAAAGTGGAAGGGGACAACTGATCTCACAAAGTTGTCCTCTAGGAGCTGGAGAGATGGCTCTTCCAGGGAACCCTGGTTCAATCTCTAGTGCCCACATGGTATCACTCACCTGTAACTCCAATCCTGGGGATCTAACACTCTCTTCTGGCTTCTGTGGGCACCGTGCACATGTAGCGCACAGACACATGCAGATAAAGCACCCATACACACAAAACATGTGCACTGTGATCATGTCTCTCTGATTCACAGATTGACTCGATCTTTTTCTCTTCTGTTTTATTCTATATAGGGTGTCACCAGACTGGCAGTGTCAAACCAGCTATGGAGTCCCCAGGTTGGCCTTGAATTCACAATCCTACTGCCTGGGCCTCCTGAATGGTTAAATTATAGACCCAAGCCACTCTAGCTAAAGGTATTTTAATATCAGGCACATTAAATAATAAAATCTATTTTCTCTTACATATTTTTAAGCATCAGTTAATAACAAAAATTTCCCCTTCTTTTTCTTTCCCTTGTCCTCATTTATAATCCATGAATCTATATTTTAAAACTAAATTTTGTAATCATGATTTCACCATTTACCTGACCATGACCATGGTCAAATTTAGTATCTTTTAAAATTATGTGAATGCGTATATATCTGTATGTATGTTCACCACAGGTGTGTGGGTGCCCTGAAAGCCCAGAAGGGAGCCTTGAATCCCCTGAGACTGGAGTGACTGTCAACTGTGAGCCACCAGCATGGGAGCTAGAAACTGAACCTGGGTCCTCTGCAAAAGCAGCAAGTGCTCTGAACCTCTAAGCCATCCCTCCAGCCCCTTATCCAGTATCCTTGGGCTTCACTTTTCTCAACTATCAGATTAACATCTGCTCTATTTTCTCCACGGTGTTGAGGTTAACATCAAATGAAAGGAGACATAAATTATTTGGTACAAGAAGAGATTCCAAAAAGCTATTAGCATATTATTATAATTCCTTGAGAAATCGGCTACTGCATGCAAGCAACTGGCAAAGGTTTTAAAATTCTGTTCCCATATTAGGTTTCAGCTAGTTATAATATTATCTAACAACCTGTCCCTCTGGTAGCTACAGAAGTCAAAAGTTGTTCCTAATTTTTTATTTATATTACTTATCAACTTACTTCATAACTCCTGAAACTTGTTGTTTGGTATCTTCCTTTAGTATGCTAATACACAAAACAAAATGTATTTAGTTCTAGTACTACAATACTATTATACCGCTTACGTCTAAGGATCTGACCAAAAGTCATAAGCTAAAAATAGAGAATCATGCATTTCTTTAACTTAGGCCTTTTAAAAAATTCATTTATTCTACAAATATGTGAGCACCAAGTACAGGCTCTGTGCTAGATGCTGGCGGGTACAAAAATGCGAAAAAAAGACATTGTACTTGCTCTCGTAAACAACCTGCCAATGAGACAAACACGGCAGGATAAACATGCATGTGATGGTAAGCTTTCGAAAACACTGTAAAGATAGCAGACAGGATGCTGAGTGAGAAACTATCTTGAAGCAATACTTACAAAGTACTGTACATTGTGTGACCTGGGACAGCACAGACAGCACAGACATGAGCTGCCTGTCACCCCAGCTCTGGAGGAACGTAACCATTCAACCCAGCCTCTCTACTCAACAGCCTTGTGAGATGAGCCTCAGTTCTCTCTTGTAGGATTAGGGGAACAATCTTCCCCGTGAGAACGATATAACTAAGTCAAATGCTTTTGCTTTGTTTTGAAACTAAGCACAAAGAAAAATTAATATAATTTGACAATAAAAATTCACGTACAAGAATCTATATTTTCCAAGTGAATTAACATTCCTGAACTTCCTAAAGAAGTGTTCCAGCACACAATAAACATCATCATTTAAATAAGCATCACCATATATGCGCTGTCACAATACAGCTAACTAGTCGTTTTAAATAAAAGTAAATTAAAATTGAGAAAATGACCCAAAAAACACTTTGAAAGAAAACTGATCATTTTCTCATGAGATCCTAGAAGACACTTTTAAGCAGAAACAGAAAGACAGAGACACAAGGAAGAAGGGAAGAAAGAGAGGGGTCAAAGGTAAAGGAAAAAGAAAGGGGTGAGGGTGGGGGAAGAAGCCCCAAGGCTCCTGGGCAGCAGCTTTTGACAAAGGTCAACAGCGCACTCTGCTGGAACTAAGTCTTTCCTACACTCTGAACAAAAAGCTGCTCCTGCTTGCTACACAGAATCAAATAGAATTACTATTATTAATGTATTTAATGCTATCATTTCTTTAATAAATAAACATTTGAATAAGAATAAAACATATCTGTAGTAATACCTTACTCATTATAAAGGTTTACTTAAAAACTTAAATCAATTCCTAAGAAAATGATAAAAAATTCTGGAACAAAGCAGTATTAGATTATTATTATAATAAGCAAAACCCAATGCTTCTCTTGACAAAATTCTAATCATGCGAAGACTTACGATTCATTAGATTGCTAATATACGAATTATTATAAGAAAAGGAATCTAAAAGCCAGTTGTGATGGTACACACCTGTAATACCAGTACTCAGAAGTTAGAGGAAGGCAGAAGTTCAAGATCATTGTTAGGTTACAGAAGAAGCTGAAGACCAGCCTGAGACATAAGAGACCTGTCTCAAACAAATAAAACAAAAGGACAATTAAAAAAGAAAAGAATAGGGGCTGCAGAGATGGACCAGCAGTCAAAGTACTGGATCTTCCAGAGGATCCAAGTTAGATTTCCAGCACCCACATGGCAGCTCACAGGTGACTATAATTTCAGTTTCAGGGGACCAGATGACACCCTTTTCTCACCCTTATGGGCAATGCACACATGTGCTGCACATACAAAAATGCAGACAAAACACTCATATGCATAAAAGAATTGAAAACAACAACAAAAGCAACTGGGAACCATTTCCACTCTTAGGAGTTCTTTCTCACTGTTCTTTAAAATCTACATCCAGGGCTGGAGATGGCTCAGAGGTCAAGAGCACTGATCTTCAGAAGTTCCCAGCATCCATTGGTTCAGAGGTTAAGAGCATTTGCTGATCTTTCAGAGGACCTGAATTCAGTTCCCAGCACCCATGGGGCAGTTTACAACCACCTGTAACTCCAACTCTAGGGGGTCTTACACCCTCTTCTGTATTTCACAGGTACCAGTACAAATGGCTGCTCTTCCAGGGGAACTTGGGCTCCCAACAGCTACATGGTGGCTCACAACATCTGTTAACTATAGTTCTATAGGATCTAATGTCCTTTTCTGCCTCCCTGTGCACCAGACATACATGTGGTGCATAGACATATATATAGATAAGGCATTCATATACCTAAAATTAAGTAATTTTTAAAAAAGTTTTTTGTGGCATTTTTTTGCCTAGCCATTCAGAAAATACATTAAAAAACTACTTTATGCAACTATGCTTTCTATTGCAAACTCAAAAACGAGCAAAAACAAGAACACAAACATATTATCTTTGCATTTTTTTTTTAGCACTGACACAGCACTAAACGTGGTAAACCCACACCAGGGCTCGTGTTGTATGTCACTGTCAAAAAATTCCACACTAGAAATATAGACATTTACACTGAAGCTATGTGTATTATACCATGCACATAAAACTGTTTTCAAGCTTAGACTTGGGTCTCATTACCAAGACCGCTCATCACAGAAAATCTATGTAAAATTCCAAAATCTGGAAAACTAAAAGATGTGATGCACCTTTAGTATCAGGCATTTCAGACAGAAAAAATATTCAACCTATATAAAGAAACATTTTAAAATCTGAAGAAAACGTCAAAATCCCTTACAATTCTAACCCTAAGCATTTCAGATAATGGTTATTCAACATGCACACTGCCGCTACTATTTCTCCGACTATGTACAACTTAAGGTCTAAAATACACTAACATCTCTGTGATGATTTAATCCACATGCCTGCCTTGTGAGACTGATACTTATATCTACATTTAGCAAGTAGGAAAGTTAGGTATTTGTTACATTAGCAAGTAGGAAAGTTAGGTACCTGACACTGACCTCTAGCAACCACATATGTACACATGTTGTGTACACACACACACACACACACACACACACACACACACAGAGAAATACTTTTTACAAAGTTTTAGAAAACAGCAGCAACAAAAAAGAACTTTTGGAAACCCTTTTAGTGCTGCTCTCTAATCACTTTATAAAGGAGGAACTGACACAGAGAGGAAAGGATTTGTCACCTCACACATTAGCGACACAAACACAGTCAGACTTTAGGGATGTGAGACCGTCTATCACTCAAATCACGCTGCTCTTTCTCTACTTTCAAATGAATTTAGATTCAGAAAACTCCCTATTTTCCTTCTTTAAACTAAGCAAAGGCATAATACGTACATTTTGGAAAGAGGAGCTTGTCTTTCCCACAGGAGATTCGGGTTTTCCTCTCTTTTCCAAAGATACTTGTGCATCCAAATGGTGGACGTCCTTTTCCAAACAATGACGTTTTCTCATCTATAAACACAGAATCAGATAA